GTCCCCCCCACCCCCGCCCCGGAGGACAGGCTCCTGGCACACGCCTGCCCTTTCCCTGGCACACGCCTGCCCTTTCCCTGGCACACGCCTGCCCTTTCCCTGGCACAGGCTTCTCTGCCGAGGAGTCAGATGCCTCAGGGCTTAGGCCCCAGTTGCCTCACCTCAGTCCCATCCCAGGTCCCCGACGGCACAGCAGGGGGTTCCCGTGAATCCTGTGGGAGAGCCGCCCGATCAGATCACTAACCCGCAGGCGCCTGCAGGCCGGGGCTGAGTCCCGCACGAGTTGAGGACAGAGGTGCTCGCTCTCTCTCTAGAGGAGACGGCGCCTTCAGGGTGTATGGTCCCAGCTGGTCTCTCTCTTCACATCCAGTGTCGTTGGCAGGACTATCAGGGCCGGGTCGGGGCTGGGCAGACGGGCTCATGAGCGGAGTCCAGCACCTGAGCTGGTGCTGAGCTCACACAAAGGTCCTTGGTCCAGCCTGGAGGCGAGATTCTGAGGCAGTTTACACACCCAGGAGTTCCAGGGGCGGAGACACAGGCTTCCCTCTGCCTGGGCACCACCCACCCTTCACCCTGGGCGCCCGCCCCACGTCCCAGCACAGTCTCTCCTCTGGAGCCGTGCGTGCAGCTCTTAGGAGACCTGCTCGGCCTCCGTGTCCCCTCCTCAGGTCACTGCAGTGTCACCGAACCCGGACAATCTAGGAAGCAATTGTACAAGTCTCCTCCCAACACTGCTGGACACAGAAGCGTCTTCATGTTTTACATAGAATCATCGCACCAACTGCACTGTGCTAGCTTACTTCTTGCATCTCTTACGTGCAGTTTGTTTTAATACACATTTTCTTGATTCAAATCAGACTTCCTCCACAGGAATCCAGGGACATTGCTCTGCTGATAAAACACAGAGCAGGGACAATGTACTAATAGGCTTGAGGTAAAGGAAGGGATACAAATAGATCAAGAGCATAATGTGCTAATCACTAGTTTTAAGAGGCTTGAGGGGAGAGGCCAAGTTAAGGCCTGTTAGAGTTGGTCTGTTTGTGCTAGGGTTAAATATCCAAAATATATTTACCTGCCAAGGTTATGTAGGTGGTTTGGGGGAAAGTAAGAGGTAGAAACCTGAGTGCAAGGTTACATGACCTGAGCTCAAGCCCTCTCTCCCTGTGCTGTTTATCCAGGGAGCTGGCAGGCTCCGAGGCTGGGGTCCTGGGGGTGGGGGAGCTGGAGCACAGCCGCAGAAGGCGCCGCGTCTGATCAGGCCTGCAGGGCCTTGCTGTGCCCATTCCAGGGGAGGAATGTAGATGTAAGGAATGAAGGACAGAGTTCAGACCGGACACGTCCCTGGTAGTCAAGTGCAAGGCCATAGTCCTCTTGGGGCCCTGCCGACTTCAGCGCTTTTGACAGTGGAGTGGGCTAGCCATTTAGTGGAACATTATTAAATGTCACCTGATCGTGGGCGGACAGTGGCCAACACCTGGCCAGCCTGGGCTGGTTCAGGGTCTGGGACGGGCGAGCAGCCTGTGGTCAGTGTGGAAGCCTGTGGTGAGACTGAGCAGGACAGGAAGGATGAGGCTTAGTGCTGAGCAGTCAGACCCCAGGCTTAGAAACACTAGAGGCGCCTTTCAAACTAGGTTCCATCACTCCCCATGGAAGAACTTACCTAATGCCTCTTACCTGTAGGATTAGCTTCCCATTGGGACATAAGTCCACACCCAAAGGATTTTTGTGAAAATACAAGGTCTTGTCCACTAGATCTCTTTCTGGTGATAGAAATCTATATATATAAAAGCTTAAGTGACCGTTACAACCGAATGACCAGAATGACTGGCCGACCAGTCGCTATGACACACACTGACCACCAGGGGCCAGACGCTTAATGCAGGAGCTGCCCCCTGGTGGTCAGTGCACTCCCACAGCCAACTTCCCA